CCCCAAAACCCCAAAACCCCAAAACCCCTTAATGGTAATATAGTATGTGATTCATTAATCAGATTATATATGTTTTTCACAAATTTATTATTAAACTTTAACGATGTTTGCTGAAATAAAATTAATATCTTCATAAAAATTATGGTACTTTGTTTATTGCTTATATCATTTTAACTTATTTATCAAGAAATATTCTTTACTCTCTCGCTATGTAAGTAGCATTGAAAGGGCGATTGATCTAATCACAGTAGCTTGAAATTTATTTCACCACTTTGGAGAATGAATCTGCAACAAAATATACAGGTTGTAATGCATTCAATGGATAACCCATGTGATCTTAGCAAATAACAAAAGGATCAAATGGTAAATGCTTAGGTTTATCGCTCACACAGTACTCTAATTCATTTACACTTCCCATTAATCCAGCTCCATAAGCTTTTAGTTATCCATTTTCTCGGCACATACCGAACTCTATAGTATACATATATATTGCAGCTAATTTTTCAAGTTCTTCATCGCTAACACCAAGAGAGGCCATGCCTATTTATTAGGAAAAATCGGCAAAATCTTAAATTGCAAACATTGGGGCATGGCCAAGTAGATCATGAATAATATCCGGTTCAAATGCAAATAGTGGTACACTATGATGCCTGATGAATTGAACACTGTGAAATACTCTAAATGCTAATCCATTCAAAAATTCTCTTTTGCTCAGCATTCCTGCAACTGGCTTGAGTCTCCAACCTGTTTAGGATTATAAATAAATTGAGACATCATTTAGCTATGGAACCTTTTTATCAAAATTAGAAAAATTTTTCTTGAATTGATCGAACGCCCAATTATATTCTTCACAAGCAAACTTCTTATAAAGTTTTTCTAGTCTAGTAAAGCAATAATTCCAAACATAATCATCATTATTTGTATACTCAATAATAGGAAGGCTTTTGTCATTAATTTTATATTTTGAAGCAGTCAAACTTATTGATTTTCTTCTTTGTTAATAGTTTTCATCTTTAAAGTAAAGCAATTCCTATTTTTAGGTTTCACTTTCTGTTTAAATGGTTGAATTCTCATAAAGATCCAAATCATTCAATTATTAAGGGAACCATGGAACTTCTGGCATTTTTAGCAATTCCACTGACTAACTAATAATTTCTAACTTTTATATTAGTTTCATAATCTTTTACTCCTGAAGAATCCTTTGAAAATCAAGGTAGTAGTTAATTATTTATTTATCTTGCCAAATGAGGTAAGGCTTAGATTATACTCTGGTTATTTCAATTTTAAATGACTTAAATATGCTAAGAATCTCATTCAAACCTCCGCATTGATCTTTAATTTAAATTTTGATTGATGAGATTTCATTTTAAGAATTCATGCAAGAACCATAGTTAGAAATCAAATCAGAATCATTGAAGTTTTGTGATGCGTTTATTGATGAAAAGTTTGCTCCTAATTTACAATTGTATTCATTGATTCTAAGCAATTACTTTTGAAACATCCTAGATCGCAATGAAACTAACTGTCTTATTTGAATTTCGGTTCGATCCTTAGCTCCATTATGAATTCTTCTAGAAATCCTTTTTGAGTTACTCAGAGAATGGAAATTAATCATCACTTTGAAAGTTGCTGAAAAATTTATTAAATTATTTTTATAAAACTATCAAATTTAGATTAGTTTATTCCTTGGGGTTTTGGGGTTTTGGGGG